AATCGGCAACGCATCCCGCTGGTCGCCATGGATTGGTCAAAAAGGTCGTTTTTCGCCTCTTTTCTACAACGTGATTCGCCATTAAGTAGAATTGTGATCAAACGGCGTCTGTAGATCACAGCAGAGCGAGTCTCAATGCACCCTCTCTAAGCCTACTAGAAATACGAGCAAAATTGGTATTGATTCATAGGGTAGTAGAGAACTAGTACGCTAGTAGGATGTTATGGCATAGCCCAGCACTGACATCGAGGCAACAGCCCTCATCGCTTATTCGTCGCGAAGAAGGCGGTTCGGGCGGCACTGAAAGTAGCCATCGTTGATACGGGTGCAGCGAGTGCCCGACACGCATGTCGTATATCCAATGTAAGCGCGACCACCGCATTGACCCCACATCGGCACCGTTGGCTTCTTGGCTGGCTTTTGGCCATACCCAAGAAGAGGCACGCAGTTCTCTACGGAGCGAAGAGGATTGTGTAAGGTTCCTGTCCAAATAAGGTCGTGAGACGTACTGTACACTTGCCACCGAGGCGAATGCAAAGCAATCCAGTAGAAGCGCAGCATGCAACCCTTGGCGCCGCAGCTCGAGTAGTCGACCGGGAGGTTGGCCGCCGGCTTTTGCGGAAAGTTGGTCGCGCAGTCGTCGTTCTGGAACACGCGCTTGTTATCGAGCCAGACTTCGCACGGACCCGTGTGGCTCGGGATGAAGCCCTCGCCCGTGTCGGGGTTCTGGAACGTCATCTTGCCGTTGCTCGGGATCTCCTTTCGGGCAACGTTGGTGAGCGTGTTGCCGCAGTCCGGGCCGTGCGGGTCCAACATTGCACGAAGCGTCTTGTACTTGGACTGGGCCTTGAACGCCTTGTTGAAGTTGACAGCGTTGTCGCGGGGCGAGCCGTTGAACTTGCCGGGAAGGAACGCTTGAATTTCGGCCACGTACGTCGTGTGCATGACGTCGGCCTTGAACTCGGCGAAGGGGTTGGACACGATGCCGTGGCTCGAGACAAGCGGCAGCGCCAGTGAGAGGAGCGAGAGCAGCGTGTTGAAGCCCACCATTGGTGTCGACAAGAGAGAAACTTGGAAAATGACTCTGGGTTCGAGACCACGCGCTCACTGTAGAGCTGGCTACGTCCGCTGCACGTTCCTAGCGCCGGAAAGCAGCCTTGTATGCGAAGTGGTGGCATGGACTTTCTGCTCCACGTAATTTCGACGAGATATGATTTTCGAACCAGACGGTTACAACGACGCTCAACACAGCAATGTGACTCGTTGTGACGAGCGCGATAGGCAAATGCGATCCGTGCCACCTGATGGTGTGACGTTATTAGTAGACTCGAACGTCTAGTCTACTAATGACGCAAGACCTGTTGCTAGTCTAGAAGCAGGTCTTGTCTGAATTTATCAAACAGTTCGACGTAGCGAGTTGATTGGAAAACAGGTGTATGTATGATGTCGCGGTAAATCCTTGCATGAGAATGTCAATAGATACGAACAACTGACTCCTCATTTGCATATTATGTACTGGTGCTTGTACTCTGCAGCCTAGTATTGTGTGCACCCTTGGGTCGTCAATTCGTTGCAAAAACTAGTCACATTGTCGTACTGGGCATCGTTCAGACCGTCTGCTTCGTGAAGAGCTGAGCAAATCATATCTTGCCCCAAAGCCAAGAGGCTTTCCTCGTTTGGTCTATGAACCAATACATTTTTTTTGTATTTCAAGAAAGCTGCATGTGCATTGCCGACAGTAGACTCGGATC